AGCTCTCCCCCGACCTGCGCAGCTCCACCGTGGCCTGCTGGTGCAGGTTCTTGGCCAGCTCGCGCGCCACGTCGGGGCGGCCGCTGCGCCGCAGGGCCCGCGCCACGCGGTCCCACGACAGCGCCGGGGCCCGGGCGGCCAGCCAGGGCGCCAGCGCCTCCCGGCAGCCGTCCGAGAGCCCCCCGGCCCCGGGAGACGCGTCCTCCGGCTGCGTAGCCGCGGCCCGCCGCTGCGGGGGCCCCGGGCCCTGCGCCCCGGGCGAGGGTGTGGGCGTCTCGGGCCGGGCCAGTCGGTCCTCCGACAGCCGGGCCAGCTCGGCGTCCAGGTCCGGCTCTGGCGCCTCGAGGAGCGAGCGGAAGTGGCCGCACTCCTCCGGGGTCAGCAGCTCCGACAAGCGAATGGCCGCGTGGGGGCCCATGGCGTCCAGCGCGCCCGTGAGGCTCAGCACTCTGCTGCAGAGCACCAGGACCAGCGCCCACGCCATGGCTTCTGGCCGGGGGCTCCGAACCCGAATGCCGGGATTGTGGCGCAGCGGAGAGGAACGCTCAGGGAGAGAGAACTCGACTAGGGTGGGGGTGGGGCGCACCAAGCTAACCGCTCAGGGTCGAGGGGAAGGAGCTCCCCCCCCCCCCCCCGCGGGCCCCCCGGGGGGGGGGGGGGGGGGGGCCCCACCAAAGGCCCCGGGGGGGGGGGGGAGGGGGCCCCCCCCCCCCCCCGGCAGGCCCCGATGGAGGGCGGGAGTCGGCGAGCCAACCAATGGCCGTGGCTGCGGGATCAAGCGGGGTCTGAGCCTTATAGGCAAGTGCCTGAGTGATCTAAGCCCGCTGATACCCGACCTCCTCCAGACAGAAGTGCCCCGGACGTCTGCTGGCTATCAGCCCCCAAATCCAGCCAAGGCCCAGCTTCCCTCTCGAACGCCCAGTGGTTAGCACGCGCTCACATCTGCTAGTCTCAGGATTGGGCCAATTCCCGGTTCTCACGCTCCCTGACATCACTCCCCAAGGTGGCTTGCCAGTGGGCTGGCTCGCAGTCCAGCGGTTCGTCCTCCATGGCGGACCCTGCTGTCTCACGCCTGCTGGGAGCCACACTCACACAGTCCACACACACCCAGGCCCCCTACCACACCCAACACTGCTGCTACTGCCTCGCCCATGAGGCTGAGGGCCCCACACTGTCCCCAAACAGGGCCCCAGGGCCCTGTCCACAGCCACCCCCACCCACAGGCTGAGGCATCATGTAGCATGCCAGCTCCTAAGGGCAGCTGACAGGCCCCACCCCCGCCTCCACTGAGTGCCCGGTGACAAACACAGACTGTGCCAACAATCTCCTCTCCCGCCTCCACATTTTGCTCAACTCTACCCCTCCTGCCTGGGAAGGTACTTTTTCCATGTGTCTGTGTGGTGTGGGGGCATGGCTTTGGGCAGGGCACAGGCCTGGGGCCGACATGCCACCCCGTCTCGCCCCTCTTCATTCAGTGAGCAGGGACTCTCAGTTGAACCCCGAGTTCAGTGACAGGGCTGGTCCAGCCAGCCACTCTGAGGGACCCCTGCTTCTGCCTTCCCAGGGCTGGAGTGACGGGAGCTGCCACATACCCGGCATTCACAGCGCCACGGGGGATGCCTCTACCTGCTGAGCCGTCTGCCCTCTTGGGCATTTTTGACCGAAGCTCAGTGTCCTTCACAGGAATGCAGAAATGCTAGGGTCTGCCGGACAGGTTTCCAGTGGCTGCGTGTCACCATCAAACAGCTGGCCCGCCCCCAGCACCCACACCTCGCTTTTACAGTTATAGACCTGTATGATCCCTCCCTGTGGCTGGCCCCACCTCGGATTCTCAGGGATGCCCCTGGAAGTTTGGTGAGGTGGTTTCATTTGGCATTCCCGCAATGTCTTCAAACAACGGGTTGACATGACAAACTGCAGGAGGCACATCCGGACCTCCAAGGGCTAAAAGGCAGGGAGGGCTCTTTGAATCCTGGGAATACACACCTTTGTCTCTTCTGGCTTGGCCCGTGAGCCCCCCACAGGTGAACGGTCCAGCTGTGGCAGGCAAGGACTTGAAACAGAAGTGGGCCCAGCTTCTCCACAGAGCTTTTCAATAGTGGCCCTAATTTGTCCATCTCCCTTTTATCATGAGCTGTCAGTACCCGGGACTGAAAGACAGGAAGTGGATGAAGGACCTCGTGTGGCCTGAAACGCTGGGCCTCCGCCTTGTGGAAGCCAAGTATGACCCTCACCTTGCTCAGGCAGGGCTTGCCCCTGCTCTTCCTCTGCAGAAGGAACAGAACTCGCAGAGTTAAAGCCAGGACACTGACAGACCTGAGCAGCTGACACTCCCCACACCCACAACCCCCAAGAAATCCTCCGGATGCCACACGTCATAACTTTAATACTGTGTAATATTTTCTTTTAAAATACAGTCTCTTCTGAGGTAGACAGACCACAGCGGCAGAGCATCAGACAGGAGATAAATATGCCCATGTACAACACACAGCAAAATGAGGTAGAAATGGTTGTAGCTGAGGGAGAGGATCCCAACCCAACATCAGCAGAGGGAAGGGAGGGCCGGCGCCCCCCCCACGCTCCATCCCTGGATTCTTTGGTATGCCCCCCAACATTGCTAGGGCTAGACACGCCCTGACATCCTGCCCCACGCTCTTGAGGTAGGTGCTGCAGCCGGGGGCTGTCTTCTTGTGCAAAGCTTCCAAACCTGGAAACAGAAAGAGCCCAGCAGAGGAAGTGGGGGCCCTGGGGACTGGTCCATGAACTCCTACCCAGCCCCCCAAATGTGCTGCTGCTTGAAGGGGCTGCTGGGCTCCCGACTCTACTTCCCTGCCCCTCTGCCCCGCCCCCAAGACCTGAGAGAACTCCCTTAGTCCACACTCCTGCCTGGGATCTCTGCGGCCGCTTGCTTTGAGGCATCTAGGCCTGCCCTTGGGTGGCTGGCCGCAGGCGGACCAAGCAGCTTTCCTGTTCACACCCCTAGGCTTGCACCTGCCTCTGGCACCCTGCCCCCTCCAGGCCTCTCATGCCATCCTCCACACCCACAAAGTGAAGGGGTCAAGGAACCTTGGGGGCAAGTAGAGCAGCCAGAGCGGAACAAAAATGGGGAGCGTCCCTTCTCCACACTGAGGACCGTGAAATGGTCTGAGGGTCCAAACAGCTGAAGCCCGCACAGAGGGGACGAGCAGGAGGAACGTGGTTTGCAGAGGGCTCTAGGCTGTTGTCATGGGAAAACACCCTATGCCCTCCCCACACACTCCGCACTCTGGTGGACCAAGGAAGCACCCAGCCCAGAGCCTTTTCCAGAGCCCTGCTTACTCCTGACAGGCCCCAGACCAACACTGGGCCCGGCTCCTAGTAGTCAGCACTGTGCCTGAGGAGATCCCTGGAGCCTGTTAGTGGGCACCTGACAGAACTCTAAGACGCCCGAGAACTTCCTGCCTGGGTCACCTCTGAGGCAGGAAACGGTCAAGAGCAAGACCCCAGCCCTCTGTAAGTGTCACGGACAAGCCGAGGCGGAGGACTAGGGCCTACCCTCTGAAGGCCCGGCCCTCCCTCGACCCCTGCTTGCAAGCTGGGCCAGCGGAGGGTACATTCTGCTTCTGTCCCGGGACAGCAGTCTGAGGCTTGCTCTGCTCTTCCTCATCAGCCCGTCAGTCTCTCTGGTCTGGGAGAACGTGCTCCCTTGGATTAGGGCTGGGGACACAGGAGAGCAGCCAAGCTAACATTCTTTCTGAGGTCAGTTTCTTCCTGAGTTGTCAAAATAAAACGAAAAACAGGAATCCTACACATCTTACAAAAATAAGAGGCCTAAAATATTAAGCAACCTACATTTCTGGGACTTGCCCTCAAAAACGAACAACAACAACAAAAACCCTTCTTTGGGTGTTTTTTCTTTCCTTTGCCCCACCCGTAAACCCTTGAGAACTCAGGTGGGTGAGGTACCGAGGAGGGGGTTTGGGCGCTCCCTATCCCCCTCTCAGCCTCTGGGCCAAAAGACACTGTTGTGTGAATGAGGAGCAGGGAGGCGGGAGGGTCGGGAGGGTCGAAGCGCAGGTTCAGGAGGCGGTGAGGGAGCAAGTTAGACAGACACACGCACAGAGGGTGAGAGGTGGGGGCCGGAAGGAGGACCAAAAAGAGCAGGGAAGTGAGGGAGGGGCCAGCGACTAAGCCAGCACAGAGAAGGCAGAATGGGGAGGAGGGTGTCGAGAGAGAGCAGGAGTGCCTCAGGCCCTGGTGCCAGCTCATGGCGGGCGCGCCCCGTCTGCGGGGCGGAGACGGCGACCCTCCGTCCACAATAAATAGGAAAACCTGAGTTCACTGGTGCATATGGCGTCGATCTGCCTGGCAGAAGCATTTTCCTTCCCATAACAAAACAAAACAAAACAAGGAAACAAAACACAAGTCCCCCGGGAGAGCCCGCCCTCTTCCACCCCACATTCATCACTCCTTTGGCCAAAGACGTCCCTCCCCCGGGCGGAGCGGCCTCCCCGCCGCCCTCAGGGTCCGGAGCCGTACATTTTGTCCCACTCGACGAGCGAGTCCAGCTCGTTGGGGAGGGCCCGGGGGCCCACCTTGGCCAGGGCCGCCTCCACGTCTTTGTAGGAGAGGGGCCGCTGCAGTCCGGACAGGCCCGCCTCGGCCGCCGCCTGCTGGCACAGCTGGCACAGCTCGTCCCCGGAGAACCCCTGGGTGCCCTGCACCAGCGCGGCCAGCTCGCGCTCGCCCAGCGCGCAGCCCCGCCGCGCCAGCGCCCTCTGCAGGATGTGGCCGCGCGCCGCGCCGTCGGGCGGCGCCACGTAGAAGCGCAGCGGGAAGCGCCGGCGGGCGGCCTCGTCCAGGGCGGCGGGCCGCGCGGTGGTGGCCACCACCAGCACGCCGTCGGGGCGCGCGCCGCCGCCGTCCAGGCAGGCCAGCAGGGGCGCGCGCAGCGGGGCGCCGCCGTCCTCCCGCGCCGGTAGCAGCGCGTCCAGCTCGCTGAGCAGCAGCA